GTAATAATGACAGAATGGCAAATGCTATTGAGGGGTTAAGCATGTTCAACTTGGCCTTTAAAAAGAGTCATGTTTGATGGTTAAGTAGGGCCTTGGGTTGGAGGAGGGTTTTGAGGATGGTTTAATGTGCAATAATTTTATTTGTAATAAAATTAAAAAAAAATAAATAGATTTGAAATCGTACAAAAATCAAAAAATAATACGAAATTTACCCCGAAGCAAAGAGGAGAACTTTTCCTATATCCAAGTGCTAAATGAAATGCCGAGCAAACATTCAAAAAAAATAAAATTCGTTAAAAATTCTGTTAACATCTTAAAAATACCGAATGTAGGCGTTATATTGGGATCTATACGACGACGTGGACTTTTGTCATTAGCCATTACAAATGTGAAACTTAAAAAAAAAAATCGGTGAATAATGTAGCTAAAATCATCGAAATAACGAATATGGGGCTATGCGAAGACGTGAACCTGCACAGACAATTTTCTGTAATACTAGGCTGTACGAACTTCAAATACCAAATTTGAAACAATTTCGGTGAATAATGTCGCTAAAATTGTCAAAGTACCGAATTTCGGGAAGTACCGTTATATGGGGGCTATACGAAGACGTGGAGCTGCACAAACAATTTTCTGTCATAGGCTGTAGTATCCATTACGAACTTCATATACCAAATTTGAAACAATTCCGGTGAATAATGTCGCTAAAATCATCAAAATACCGAATATCGGGAGGTACTGATATATGGGGGCCATACGAAGGTGTGGATCTGTACGGACAATTCTGTCATAGGCTATAGTACCCATTGCGAACTTCAAATACCAAATTTGAAACAATTCCCGGGAATAATGTCGCTAAAATTGTCAAAGTACCGAATTTCGGGAGGTACCGTTATATGGGGGCTATACAAAGACGTGGAGCTGAACAGACAATTTTCTGTCATATGCTGTAGTATTCATTATGAACTTCATATACCAAATTTGAAACAATTCCCGGGAATAATGTCGCTAAAATTGTCAAAATACCGAAAATAGGGAGGTACCGTTATATGGGGCCTACACCAAATCGTGGACCTACATGGCCCATTTTCAGTACCTAAAGTCCTGTAGACTTAATATACATTTGAGTAAAATTTTATTACCCTACTTCATTTCGTTCGGAAGTTAGAGTGATATATCGGATGGTTGACTCTCAAAATATCGAAACAATCGGTTAAGCCATTGAGTCATTGTGGGAAAATAATTTTGTAACGAATAAATGTTTTATCTTTCAAATAAATCCAGCCTTAACATGGATCTATGTGTTTTTAAAATTCTACAATAAAATTTCGAAAATTCTGGAGATATAATGACAGCTGGAATGGTTACGACATTGAGCCTTTCGATATTTTCGATAGTTGACTAAACAAAATATCGAAACAATCGCTTAAGCTACTCAATAATGACTCAATATTATTGAGACGAGATCATAAAATGTGAAAAAAATGCCGGTATCTGCCTTAAAAGGAATCGATGATGGTCAATTATTAAAAGGAGATGTTCAAAAAATCTAAATCTGGTGAAAATTCTAGATAATTTTACGCCATGCCGATAATAGGACGACACCGCTAATGCAGAAGTCTTAAGGCTTGGCTTAAGTCATCGGCTGGTTTCTTCTGAAAAGAACAAAGGGGGCCAAAATCGAACTAAGCCAACCTAAAACTGCTTTTGTTCCTCTACCATGCTGTCAACTTCTATTTATCTGGCTTTATAAAATATTTCCCTCCGTATTATCAAAAGGCATGCATTTCCCTCACAATATTATTTTTTTGGTGACTTACACGGTCTGTTTTATAGACCTTACTAGCATTTCAAAATAAGACTAAATGTCTAATCACAATAATGGATTTTGACAGTTCGCCTAGCAATCAGCTGTGATAAGAGGAAAACCTATAGGTATATATTTATTGTACCATGCTCTCTTTCTCTATACCAGCAGAGCGAGGGCATATAACAGGTTGAGCATTTTTTGTCCCTTGAATCTACATTCCCTCCCCTGCCGTTTTATTCCATTGAGAAATATTATTATACTCCCATCTCTGGTGTTTTTTTATTGCATTTTCTTCAAGAAATTCTAACTGCAATTTACAGTTCGTCGAAACTCTTAAACACTTTGTTATGGATTAATTAAATTATCACACATTTGTGTATCATTTTAAACCCGTTTAGCAGGTTAACAATAAAAGAATTTAATTATATTAATTATATAATTAACATTAAACTGTCTGGCGGCCTGGCTGCTTGACTGTCAATCAATGTAAAACAAAACGCAAATAAACAAAATGTTATTTATTATTCCATAAACATTTTCCATGTGACGCTTATGCGAATATAACCATTTAATATTCGCCTAGAATCGGAAATTTATCAATCATCAACGTAGCGTTGGGTGGATGGCTGGCAGACACCGGCTTGCCTGGGCTGGTAGTACCAGCAAAGATAAACAATTAACTACGTGCATTGTTTTGAAAATCAGATTACTATTTATTATTATAATATATTATATGACACTATACCGGATAGACAATTAATTGTGGAGGCACTAGTGGGGTTTGTGGATTTCTAGAGAAATGGGGTGTGATCTTACTACAAATCAAGTGATATTTTTTCATAAGGGTATTTCACATGGAGTGAATTTAGAAGAAATGCTAAAATTAATTTGTTTTTTTTTTCGTAGTCTCAAAGAAAGAGTTGAACTGTAGCTCTCTCAAAGTGTTGCACTTTAGCTCTCTCACCATAGTAATTATGTGAGTCAATGGTCAATTCAATTCAATTGTAGAGAGAAATGAGCAGATAAATCAATCAATTCATCTCCGCTCATTATCAGAATTTTTTTAGAAATAATCTAAAACTCTTCATGAAAAATATATTAAGTTATATCAAATAACAGGAAACCCTTTAAGATGATTTTAGAGGGGCTACTCAAGAAAGTTTGAAACGCCAATAGGCTATCTTTAAAGATCGTATGCCATGATATAATTTTATTAATTGAATTTTGCTCTGTGTTTCTCATTCCTAAAGTTTTTTATTTGTCATAATCTTTAAACAAATTATCATTTGAACTGGTTTCTTTTGTTTTCTGGTGTGAGTTGTCATTAAACAAAATTATCTCTTATTTTTTTGGCCTTTTAATGACAAGGTATGCGCCGTGGTCGATTTAACTGGATTGACTCGCGTGCAGAGATACATACCTACACACGGATACCAGAAATAAAGACATTTTACAAGTTCAATGTCAAGTTTAAATAAAAAAAATGGAAATACAACAAACGAAATTAACATAACCCAGCAAAGTGTTTGAGAAGGGAATATGGGAATTTTTAGCATAATAGGATAATTTTATTAAGCAAATGGACAAATTTAAAGCTATAAGGCTTGGGGTATAAAAACGCTTCTTAAGGGCTGAGATCAACACCTTTAAGTTTTGGGGGACCCAAAAAATCACAAAAATTTATATCTTTGTGTTTTTTATAAAACAATTGATCTAGATTTCTATATATTGTTGTAGATATTCAAAAAATCGATCATATTCAAAGCTTTTGAAATCTTTAATATGGAACATTTTGAATATATTTGGAAGATTTTAATTTGAAATATATGCTATTCTTATTGAAATTAAAAAAATATTTTCAGGTGCTTGATTTTTCCACAAATTATCGTTAGTGAAAACTGAATTTTATTACTAAATAAATTAAAATTAGATTTTGAAAAAAAAAAATCAAAGAAAAACTGTTTATAAAAATTAATATATTTTTTAACAAATAAACACTTCTAATTTTTTTAACTGGAATTTATTTTTTATAAAAATTATAATTTTCCAATGTTCCCAAAAATTTATATTTTCTAGAAAAATATAAAATATATTTTATTAAAAAAATACTAAAAAGTTAATTTCACTAAAAATCAATACTTGATTAGAATAACAGTTTAACTTTTTTTATCTATTTTTTAATATTTTAATAATTTTTAATAGTCTAAAAATACTAATTTCATAAATTCTTTATCTTAAATTCATTTTTTATTGAAATTATTATTTAAATCTGATTTATTTCATTTTTAAAATTTATTTTTTTATTGTTTATATAATTTTTAATCTAGTCTAAAATAGCAGTTTTCTAAATCTAAATATTGCTTACTTTAAATTTATTTTTATATTGAAATTTTTATTTTAATTTGATTCAAAGTCAAATTGAAAGATTATTTTCACGTTCTAATTAAAATTTGAACAAAAACTCCAAAGATTCCCAAAACGTCTCTGCCTTAATTAAAATGCAGCTATTATTTAAAAAATATATATCTGATTTTATTTTTTAAACTACAAAAAAAACTTTCATTTTCCAATTTTTTTAAAAAAAACTTTTAAATTTTTTAAATATCTTTGTTTTAAGAGAAAATCTGAAATTCCCTCAATTATATTTATTAAACCAAAAATCTGCTTTTTACTAAAATGTATATTGGAAGAAAAATTTATATCTTCCTGACATCCTTTTTAAACACATTATCTCCCTTTTTCCGGGAATTAATTTTCATTATATATTTTTAAAACTACAATTTTAAAAAAATGCATTTTTACAAAAATATATTTAAATCTATTTTTATATTCTCCTTTTTAAATATTCATTATTTTACTCAAATACAATTTTGAAAAAACAAATTTTTTTGACTAAAAATCTATTTGAATCTAGTTTTTAAGGACTATTCTCGTTGATCAATTTTTATAGATTCCTTTTTAAAATTCATATTCTATTCATATTTTCAGAATTTTGAATATTCACTTTCAATTCCTAACGAATAACATTACTTTTTAAATATTCGATGCTTATGGAATTGTATCCTTTATATTTTCCAATGTCTGGACATAATATTCTAGAATATTCCTAAGCACTTTGTTTGGCACCACATCCTTTCACTAAATTACTCCTTTTTTATTTTTTTATTGTTTTTCATTAAATAAAACTTACCTTAAAATGTGCACTGTTTTCGTTTGTTTGAACTTCAGCAAAATTTGTTTACTTTTTTTAAAAATCTTTGTAATAACAAAGATTTAACTATTTTTCTCTTAAGAAAAAATATCACAATTTTAAAACAAAAGTTTTTTTGTTGTTTTGTATTTTGATTGGTACAGCACTTTTTCACTTCAAAGTATTGTTCCTTTCACACTAAATCTGTTGTCTTTTAATTTTTTCTATTTGAAAAAATCGTTTTATTTTCTTTAGAATAATTGATGAGATTTAGTTGGGTTGTTCTTGTTGTTTTGTATGAGATGCCGGTCGGTTGTCTGTTGCGTTGACTGTTGCACTGCTCTGCGTTCAGTTACAGAAAGCACTATGAATGGCTGCAGTGATGCCCAACTGCTTTTATATCCCTTTCTGTGGTGAATAAAGAACAGAAAATTGTTTTGACCACCAAACAAATACACAGATACAAGATACTTGGCATGTGTGTGAGTGTGTGAGCAGGGAGTATCTGTGATATGTGTTTTCCGCTGCTGTTAGGCCATGTTGTCAATAGCAGTGGTGGTGGTGGTGTTAGTTTGTTATGTTGTTGTTCTTCTTCTCGTTTCCCGAGGTATATAATGGCTAATGTGCATTGGGATTTGAAACACCAATTGTAATTATCTTCTCTGTTGTCTGTTCAGCCATTTAAGTCTCTCTTAATTACTCTCTCACAACATAAGGGGTCTGTTATCTTTATCTCCATGTGTTGTTAAAGCATTGATTAATTTGCCTGTTGCTTATGTTGTCTAAATGACCACTGTTAGTTAATCTATGTATTTAGCTGATAACATGGCTATGGCTTGTCTTGGTAGTGGTGCCTAATGATCGATCTAACATTATTTCGCTCTCTGGGGTTTCTCAATTAAATTTCTAATAAGTGATGCTAATTGGGCGGTTTTTCCCTTTATGGACAAATGTTGTTTAATGCTTCAGAAAGTCGCAGTTCGTGTCAGGTAGGGTTTTTCGAAAAAAAAAAAATAATAATAATAATAAATAAAAAATACGCTATGTGTGGATTACCGGTTTGGATATGGAAATTAATTTTTGGTATAAGATTTAATATTTCGAGACCATATAAACAATGCTAACAAAAGACAACAAAAGTTCAGAGAAAGAAATATAAAAAGTATTGATTCTTATACTAATCTAAAGTTCTCTATTTGTTGTGAAATATATACCAAAATATTGGGGTCCATTTGTATAAGTTTGAGGTTATATTAGAAGGTCTTAGAAAAGTTTGGCTTGGCAACTCAGACTGTTGAACATTGAAATTATAAAGAAATTTGCAGTGAATTTGGAAGAGTTCGAAATATGGCAAATAAAATAAGGTTTGTTAAGGAAAAGATCATATGTTTATGATTCAGGTGTTTTTTCTCTTTCGAGAGGAGCTTAATAATTTGAAATTTGCAAAGTTTTTTATAAACCATCATTGATGAAATTTTATGGGAAATGCTAAGGATACAAATTTCTTTTGTTCGGAGATTCACAATGATATTTGATGTAGAATATTTCTTGTTTTGACACTTTTTCCAAAAACTGAAGTATTGAGGAAGATTCTCACTCAGATTTTAAGCATATTAAAATAATAGCGAAAACGTAAGTGAAGTAACTGAAGCGTAACAGCTGAAGCTAAAATATTGAAATTTTGCACGAGGTCAGTCTGGGTGCGTGGGCGAGTGATTGGGCTGCGTTTTTGGAAACTCGTACTAAAAGGGCACGACAAGTACAAAAATGTGCTAAAGATTAAAAACTTTGTATTGGACGAACGGAATTGGCTAGAAATTTTGAATGAGATTCGCTGATGGAGTTCAGGATAGCTATACCAAGGAGTTTTTAGATATTCGAACTTTAAGGTTACGAAAAGTTCTAAAATGGTACTAAGCTTCTTAATTCATTATTTAATCTTAATGTTATTATTGGTATTGGGTAAAGGAATAGAACTGAAATTCAGACATTTGATATTGAGGTTACTGTTGGTGTTTGTGGTTAAAATATAAAGGTGGTTTTCGAAATGTGTACTATAAGTGCACGAAAAGTACTAAATTGTACTATATTTGTTACGTTTTGGTAATGGGTGAACATATAGTGCTTGCAGTTTGAAATTTTGTGTTACGGTCGTTCTTCGTGTGTAACCTGGACATATGGAGGTGGTTTTGAAAATGTGTACTATAATTGTACGAAAAGTACTGTATGGCACTAAATTCGGTCTTGATTTACGAGATATATACAAAATACTGAAATTTTATATTTGGTTTACTAATGGTATCTGTGGTTAACATTTGGCGGTGGTTTGGAAAAACGTACTATAGTTGTCCGAAAACGGCTAAATGGTACTAATTTTGGTATTGTGTAAAATGATAACGCTGGAGTCCCGAAATTTGACATTGAGGTCTCTGTTGGTATCTTGCTTTGGGATATAGAGTTAGTTTTGGAAATGTGTACAATAATTGTGAGAAAAGTACTAAATAGTACTTAATTTGGTATTGGGTGAATAAATAGAGCTTTAATTCTGAAATTTGCTATTGAGGTCACTGTTGGTGTCAGTGGTTAAAATATGAAGATGTTTTTGGAAATGTATACTACAAGTGCACGAAAAGTACTGAATAGTACTATAGTTGGCAGAATTTGGTATTGGGTAAGCAAATAGTGCTGGAAGTGGACATATGGATTTCATATTTCGGAATCCTAAAATTTGATATTGAGGTCTCTGTTGCTAACTGGAATTGAGATACAGAGGAGATTTTAGAAATGACACTATAATGTCACCAAAAGTACTAAATAGTACGAAGGCAGGGACGGAAGAATGGATCTGAAATCCGGAAAATTTGTATTTGTCCCTGTTCATGTGTAGCCTTGACATATGGAGTTGGTACTAAATTTGGTCTTGGTTGAAGGGATAGGGAGAAGGGATTGGTGGTGGTTGGGAAATACCTACTATTGTTGTTCGAAAAGTACTAAATGGTACTAAATATGGGTAAAGGGATAGGGCTAGAATCCTCAAATTTTTTATATATGCCCCTGTTTGTGTCTGTGGTTAGGAAATAAAGGAAGTTTAGAAAAAGTATAAAGGAATATATTTAAAATAGTTTAAAAGGAATATATTTAAAATCCTGAAATTTTATATTGAGATGTCTGTTTGATCTGCAATTAAGATATGGATGTGGTTTTGGAAATGTGTACTTTAATTGTACGAAAAACACTAAATTTGTATTGGGGATAAGGAATAGACCTGAAATTCTGAAATTTGATATTAATATCACTATTGCTGTCTGTGGTTGAGAGAAGGAGTTGGTTTTGGATGTCCGTACTATAATTATGTAAAATGGTATTAAATATAAATAAATATATAAATTTGTTATTAAAGTCACTGTTGGTATCTGAGGTTGAGATATGGAGGTTGTTTTTAAAATGCGTACTTTTACTTTACAAAAGGAACTAAATGCCACTAAATTTGCTTTTTGGAAATCCCGAAATTTTATATCTAGTGGTGGTTTCCCGAATGCGTACTACATTTGTTCGTTGTTGGTAACTAGAATGGGGAGATGTATAGTTATTGTTGCTAAATTTGTATATTATGAAGGTATAGACCTGAAATTCTGAAATTTGATATTGAAGCACTGATGGTTTCTAGGGTTTACCTATGAAGACGATAAAATAGTTTTGGACAGAAAAATTTAACTTAATATCTTAATCGGTAAATTTCAAAATGAAAGATATTAAAGACTTTTTGTTGTAAAATGCAACCATTTTCCCATTATTCTTTTCAAAAAAGGCAAAAAAATTTAAAAATATATAAAACCTTCAAATCTGAACATTTACTGCGCTGTGTGAAGTTTTGATTAAAAATTTTTTGAACTGAAGAAATTGTGAATTTTTTGGGTACAAAAAAGGCCTTACATGAACTGTTGGAACGAATCTAAAATTTTAAGGTGGACTTTTCGCTTAAGAATTGTGTGCTCCAAATCTCAAATTATACATCGTGAATATTCGTCTCTTTTTTAATTTTTTCGTATTTTTTTCTTAATGCAAACAATTTTTGGAGCAAAACTTATTTCTAACGTTTTTTACTCAGCAGCATTGACAACACTCCATCTAATGGGCATTTTGTGTGTTCTCCATCCATGTTAAACACTGCTCGCACACATTCATACCGACACTCACTAATAGAATGTGGTGAATTTGTGTTCAAACATTTCTGCCTGTCATTATTTTCTTCCCCTCCAAGAGACAGAGAATAAAACTAAAATTTAATGCTTTGGACGAAATCGAAGATACAACAACCGAAAAAACAAAACTCTGGTTTTTATTAATTTAAATTCTTGGAATTAATAAAAAATATAATCCTGGAGATAATTCCTTTAAAAAATTTGGCTACTTTTATGGTTTAGAAAGAGATAAAGAATAAAAGCACAAAAATAAAGACGAAAATAAAACGGATTTCAGTTAGTGATATCGTGGGGCTGTGCTCAAGATACAACATAAATTGATTTCTAAAATTTTCCACTGATTTTGAATATTATTTTAATTCATGATTTTTGGTTATAATTTTTGTAATTTAAGGGAAAGTTTCCTTAATAATAGAAAATATATCTCACCTTTTTTTCCTGATCCTCAACCAAAGTAAATAAAGTTGAAAAACTTTGAAAATTTGTTAATTTTTTTATTTGTTTATTTTCCTCAACTTAAAAAAATATATTTTTTTGTTTATTATTCTTCTTCATTTAAACTTAAATAGATTTAGAACAGCCATCTCAAGATCAGATATAACGAATTAACCCATAATAAATATATGCAGAAACATACGTTGACCTTAAATGTTGTTTTAATTCCTGTATAAAAAAATCGTTGAATTTTCTGAAAACATATGCAATATTTGTTCTATTTCTTGCTATGTTTGGGACGACATAGCATTCATGAGGCATTGAACTAATTTATAAACACGAGTTTGAATATTAATTTTTTGACATTTTAAACGAAAGATATTGTTTTTTTTTTAAGAATTGATTATATCTAATCTATTTCTTGAATATTTCGATCCACCGGGGTTGTGTGATATAGTGATTAGCATAAGCTCGGATCTGTTGAAATACTTTTGAGAGTGGAAGCAGGTCAATATGAGTTTCAATAATTTTGTTTTCATAGTTTGGTGATGTTCTTGGATTTTTAAGAACAGAGTCATACTCTTGTTGATTTTTCAACATTTTTAAAATATTTTTCCAGTACCACCCGAGTTGTGTTTGTGATTTTTTAAGAAAAATAAATTTGTTATAAGTTTCTTATAATAAGTTAATGATATTTAAATAATATTTTTGTACCTCTGCCAAAGCTATAATTCT